GTTGAAAACGTTGAATACAAACAAGCTGCATTTCATACGACAAATACCAAATTAGAGCTGACGGCCACTAGCCGGTTAAATATTAATGAATATACTAGCAAATACACGATACACAGAGACAAATGCATAGATTTAACGTAACATGGATTTGAAGTTTCTGTGTAGTTTCTGTACGTAGCCTTTATCTTACAATAATACTAAATTATCGTGCTTTGCTTTCAATTTGTACGTTTTATACTACTGAGCAACATTTGAAAACTGAATTCAGACAACTACGAGATTTTAGGAAAACGATATTTCAAGTATTTAATTTCTATTTGTAAAACTAAACGTCGTACGAATAAACTGTAAATAGAAAAATGTTCCGTCTTATCATATCCTATAATAGAAAAAAATATAATGTAATGTATAATGTATAATGTAATATAATGTAATATAAATATAATGTAATAGAAAAAAGTTCCGTCTTATCATATCCTATAAGCTGATATTTCTTTAAAATTCACACCTCTAAGCTTCTTAGAATTTTCCGTGGAAATCGTTCCACAGTCGATGGGTTTAAAACGCGATTTTGTTTCACTTTTGGAATTTCTTAATTTATTTGAAAATTCGATTTTAAATGAATGAAGCATCAACAGACAAATGATCAAAAGATTCACAGGTAAAGAAGATATGGTTTCTATAGGCGAAAAGTTGAATTTAACGTGACGTTCCCTAAGCGCTCAAAGTTATTATAAACGAGGAGAGCTTTTAGCATTTATAGTGATAAGTTGACAATAATTCAGCGTTCTCGTTAAGGACGTACCAGTAACGAGAAGCGGAGGATATTTTTTAGAGCGGCAAACATTTTCGGACGACGAGAAAAATTTTCATGCGAGACAAAAGAAAATTCTTTTTATTTCCAGAACATTTTGTACCCTTATAATTTTTCCTTGAGAGAGAATGCTGCTGCTTAACGAGCTAATTTAAACCGAGGATGAAACATTTTGAACATGTCAAGTCTTTATTTATTTTACAGTGGTTACACTGTAATTGTTCTCTTGTCCGCGATTACGTAACAACGGATATCAGAATTTTCAAATACGTTAACTACTCAAGATTTACCTTGTGTAAGCTTCATTATCGTAAATACTTCGAAATACAATAAAAATATTAGGTTGAACAAAAAGTTTCTTTCGTTTTATTAATAAGTAATATATACGCAATATCTTATGTCTAATGTTACATTACTGAATTGTGTACGATTCATTTTGGTCCGTTACTGTTACAACATCAACATCTAAGAAATTGGATTGTCTATTTATATAAACACTACCGCACAAAATAATTCAGTGCAAATTACGAAAGAAACTTTTGGGACAACCTAGTACGATATTCAGTTCATTTTTTGTGCAGACTAAATGTACTTCTAGATTAGTTTGCAGTGAAAATGATGAAATATTGAAACTGTGAAAAATAAAGACCAAAATTTTGCAGTCCTTGTTTTTATGAATCTTTTCATTACTTTTATTGTGGGAAGAATAAGGTATCTTTTAAAATTTTTTAGTCCAAAAACAGACTAATTTAGAGTATGAACTGTTGTTTAATTTGAAAAATATATAGCGGAATAGGGTGGATCGAACTTGATATAATTTTAGAAAACCCCGCGGTAGAGTACGAGGGTGACTGTCTAGGGCGAGCCTATACTACGCGGGCGCTCCACCGGCATTCTCGCGGTCTGATTGGTCGAGGTTTTCTGCTAATATCTCTTTAACGAAGCCTCGAACATTTTCGTTACGGAAAAAGTTGTTTCAAATCACTCCCCGAATCACCTCTTTCAAGGACCACCAACATTTTTGGGACACACTATTTATTCCAACGCTTCGTCCTTTCAATAAGAATTCGATGAACTCATGTGATTGAATGTGAAAATTTGAATGTGAAAATTTGAATGTGTCAATTTCGCGAAGACGTAATTTTAACGAA